TGTGTAACCGCTGCCCCTCAACTGATGTTATTCGCACAGCGCACAAGTAATGGTGCGCTATGCGAATTTCCATTTCCTGGCAGTGCGAATTTTGGCTTTCGCTTTGCGAAAATTGGCTGACAGAATCTAAATAATACATCGTTCCCTGTACAATATTTTACATAACAATCTACTACCTATTACAACTTTTCAATGAGGAACAACATGAATAATTACAAGATTGAGTTCATTTATAAGTATAAAAACAACTCTTTTTCACACTTATCAATAACGATATTGCTACATGACAATAACGCATACATGAGATATGAAAAAAAAAACTTAAAAATACAAAATCAAATTAAAAAATGACGTTATCGTCATTTATAAACATCTAACGAAAAAGACTAACTTGAATCAATTCAACACAAAATGAGAGTTAATTAAAAAATTATAACATCTCATTTTGCTAGTATAAAACTACTAAAGTAAGTGCTACAAATATGATAACAGACGAGAAACTTGAGATTTCTAAAGTTGAAGACTTACTCTGGTGTTGCTGAGCACCAAGGCTCTCAACTGTCTAGTGCTCAAACACTACTGAAGACCACGGAGCGCCACAACAGAAGAGTGAAAACCCAAATTCTAGCCTTCGTTGTCCTCTATCCAAATGCTTAACATGGATTTCTAGATATTGAGAATGCTTTAGAAACATGTTTTTAGCTTAAATTTGATATATTACACCAACTTGTCTACTCTAACTTACCTAACTCATTTCCACTCCTTTCTCATGTAGAAACTGACAAGCTATTGTTTAAACCAATAAGAAATGATCAAACTACATACCCAACACCCTATATTTCAGCACATACCTATTACTTTAAAATCTCACTAGTTAAAACCATTTAAAACACAACTTATTGACTACCACCCATTTATAAATCATATATATGCAAACTCATAATTCAAACAAGTTTCAAATGACCACAAGACAAACTCTAAAGTTCAGTTTTCCCTCTTTAACTATTATTTCAAAATCTCACTTATCCAAACCTTTTTTTTAACACAAACACAACCTATAATTATACCCAAATGCTACTTCTCCAACTCAACATCATATTTTAAGTCAATTAAGGCCCTAGACAAGTTTCAATTGATCAAAAGACAACTCCTAAACATCAGTTCTCACTAAAAAGTCACCCCTCTATAAACTTACATGGCAAAAATTCCTATCCAGACTAAAAACAGCTCAAGAACATTCCCTTTTTACCATTATTAATCCTATAACAAGTTTGTACCACCTAGGACTCCAAAAACAACTGATGTGTGAATAAAATGTAATTGCATTCATAACTTAGTTTAGGCCATTTGCATACATAATTGCATTAATTGAATCATTTCATCATACATTATCCTTGTTTCGGATCATACATGGGCATTTTTCGTTTTTTTTTGTAGATTGGTGATTCTAAGTGTCAAAATCACAACTTGGGATGAATTGAGGTACAAAATGCAGATGCAAAACAAAGTTCCACAACCTGTGGATTTTGCTCCAAAATGCAGATACAAAACAGAGAGTTCCACAACCTGGCTGTGGACAGTTCCACAACCTGTGGATTTTGCTTCAGGAAGTACATAATTGAATCCAGAGAAGAGCACAAGCAGATTGTGGATTTTTCCATGAGCTATGGAATTTTTTAGAGCAATTACTAACCTCTTTTATGATGTGGATTTAAAGAGATTTAAATTAAATAGAAATTAAGGACAATTACTTAGAGAGAGTAACCACTCTCTTAAAAAGAGGAATGAGGGGATTAAAGGGGGTATTGAAAACGTAAAAAGAGGAGGAGGAAAATCTCACGAAGACGGAGGAAAAAAAGCTTCAACACTTCTTCTTCTTCTTTTGGTTTGCATTTTGAATTTTTACATTATGCAGAACTAAAGTCCCTTTTGTTAGAGGATTGATGTAATACTTTTGATTATAATTTCTGAACCTTTTCAATTGATGTTTTGTGTTAATTTTAATTGTCTCAGTGATCTATTTATGTTCTAATGTCTATTCTATGAACAGTTTCACAATTGGGAAATTGGAGATTGTTTGCAATTATAAATAGAACATATTAGATGTTGTCACAATTGGGAAATTGGGGCACAACTAATTAGTTTGTAATTGAGATAATAATTGTTCTTCATGATTTTATTGAATTTTGTAACTGACCTAAGGGATTCGGGGTTCAAATTGAATAGATAAGTTTATCTATCTAAGGAATTAGGGGTAAACAAGCTCTTAGTAAACTCAAGTGGATAATTACAATTCACACATTAATTTGAAAAGGGGAGGAAGTTGTATGAAAACGTATGAAATCAATTCTCTAGCATTGTTTATATTATTTGAATTCCAATCACTTGTTTATGTTCATCATTTAACTTGATATTTTTATTGCTCAAAATTACGTGAATTAGTAATCTAGTACTCAACTCATTCAATCCCAAAGGACGATATTTTGTTACTACAATAACGATTGGTACACTTGCCAAACGTTAATCAACAACAACATTCAAAGTACAAGGCAATACCAATTCATGAACATACATGACAGCCATTCAACAATAATTCAATTTCACGTGTCGAACAAGGTTGTTACAAATTATTCATCTCAATTGATCACATATTAAATCAAACATCATTCTCACAACATGACAAGTATACATTCATATTGCTCAACACAAAAATAAAACAAATATCAGCTTCCCTTACCTTTTTAGAGAACCCTATTTCGTTCTCACAGCTTAAGGAGCTCTATCTATACCTATAGACAACATAAACATGAACAAGATATACCATTAGGATCACTAATCAACAAAGAGTCTTATAGAAGATTCAAACATTACATGCAAAATAGTGTGATCCACATGCAAGTGAAGAAAGCAAGGATCAAAGAAAAATGGTCCAAAGTTAAAGTACTCAGACAAAGAAAGTGATCAGTCTGAATAGATGAGCTCGTTGCCAGGATCACTCCTACGACGATCTCAGTTCTTCAATCAGATGAGCAAAGAAGAAAAACACCAAGAGAGAAGTCAAAGAATTTAAGAAAAGTGGTTTTTAGAGAAATGATGCGTTTTAAAATAATGAAATTCGTTTATAACAAAACTATTTATAATAAAACTATTTAATATTAAAATAATCGAGTCTCACTATTTTTAAACCACTACCATTTCTAAAACATAAGTTTCTAGGTTTGTTCATTCTGTTTAACAAAAAAAAATTTACATCCTCAAAAGTTCCATCATCAAATAGAAAAAAAAAGTTTTACTATTTTTTTATGCTATATATATATATATATTATTCAAATAATTTCAACTTAAAACCAATAATATGAGGTAAATTGATGCATTCATTCTTAGATGAGTACTAATTATAAGATCAGTGTTATGCACAACAAAAAAATCCAAATGTTTGCTTACAAAGCATATAGTTGCTGAATGTTTTGGTATACTATTTAATGTTATTTTCATAAATAGATTATTTTATTTTATATTTTTTTATTAAATTAGAATCTCATATGTTATTAGAAAATATTATCGTGTTAGTTGTTAACCTTTTATTAATGTGTTTTATAGATTTATATTTAATAAAGTTTTAGTTTATTATATATGATAATATATCGGAAATAATTTTAACAAGATAAAATATATGAATAAAAACTTAAATAAAGAAATCATATTAAAATTTAGTAACTAATAAAGAACAAACTTTGATATGAAATGATATTTTTTTGTAAATGATATAAGATGTTGGAACGTTTGGGTTCAGGGGCGAATTCATACGCCATTCTAATAAAAAAAAGCTTCTTTTAAATGAAAAATAGAATAAAAAAGCTAAAAACTAAAACTGAGGAAACTAGTAATCTGTTTTTTCTTTAAGATTTTTTGTGAACAACATAATGATAAGAGAAAATAATTAATTTTTATTTATGTAATGTAGGCATTTTGAAGATCATTCTTACTTTACTCGCAACTTCTTTTGTTTCCTCTCTAACAATTTAACTTTTCTTTAGGCTTAATTATCTTTCATCCCTAATAAACTTAAGAACTTTAAATAAATTTTTATAATATTAATGCCGTAAAAAAGAGTTAGAATATGCAGACTAATCTGACCTACCAAGAGTTCGGATCGGATTGAGTTTGAAAAAAAATATAATTTTTTTATAGAAGTCAATTTTTAACTCGGTCCACTTATAACCGTGCTCACCCGGGTTGAATCCGCGGTGGAGTGGATTGACTCACTAATCCAGCTAAATTATTTATTACTTTGTATTTCAATATGATTAGTTAACACTTTTTTATTGTATTGTAGGTAAGACAAAAAAAAATATTTCATTGAAATATTATAAATTTATCCAAACTCTACTATTCTAAATAGATAAGTAATACAAAAATATTAATATTACAAACTTATTTATTCACTTTTTGTATTTACTTTTGGATTGTATGGTATTTTTTATTTATTTTAAATTATCTTTAGAATTTAACATCATGAATAAGTTAACCAATCTATTTAACCCACGAATGCAATGGATCAGCTGATGAAGTTACCTGTTTTGATAATGTATTGGATAATTGATAAACTTATATCTTTTAATTGAATATGTTATTTAACTTTTTTTGTTATTTTTGTTAATTTAATGAATGACTTTAATTACATATTTATTGCCATATGAAAATTTATAATTTTATTATTTACAATTTTATAATTAAAATTAACATACTTATTTTAAATATAATATTTATTATACTGGAATATCTAATAAAAAAGTGAACAACATAATTAAAAAAAACATTTAACCTATTTTTATTTGGTTTACTCGATTCGTCGTACTAATTATTTTTTACAACCCTAATTGTGATATTAAAACACTCACAAAATAGTCTAGAATCGAAGGATTAGTTTCTTTCTTGCATTATTTAATTTTATATACCATGCTGCTGCATTCAGTAAGCCTATTTTTTGAACATGGATTCATAAATTGATGTTAAAGAAGCAAGATTCGAAGTGAATGTACAGATTTGAGTGGTAAAGCAATTTCTGTGACTCACTCTTAAACTTAGTGCTGCAACTGGAATAGATCTTATTGAAAAAGAGTGATCTTATTGAAAGGTGGTGTAATTATTCTCTGTTATCGACCACTCATGCTTCCATTCAAACATACAATAGCTTTCAAAGACCAGCAAACACTTGAAGTGCATCGTCTTTGAGATTTGAAGCATAGTAACTGAAAAACTTTCCATAATTGAACGGACGATAACGAAGAGGATGAAGTGTGTCATCTACCAATTCACGAGGCTCAACAATCCCCTCCTCCTTTGGTTCTGCAAAAACTCCAAACGAGTATCTCTCTCTCTCTCCACTCACCTCCACTCTATGCGTCGCTGCATGAAGCCTATCATTGCTCCATGCCTATTCATTCAGTAACATATACTTATAATTATTACATAAGAAGAATTCAGTTCATTATGATAATTATCAAACAATATAATTTTCTCTTTACCTTCAGTACATCACCAACCAAAACCACAAAGCCATGTTGGGGTATCGTTATTTCAGTCCATTTGCCTGTTTTGGATAACAGCTGCAAACCTTGGACTCCATTGTCGCACAAAAAGGTCAAGCTGTTTTTGTCGGTGTGAGGGAACCTCGTAACCTGATCATAGTCATTGTGGTTTGCAGAAGCTTTGTACTTGTTGAAACGTATATTATTAGAACTCTTGATGCTTTCAACATCTGAAATGTAGTTCTGAGAAACACCATAACCCTCCATAATCATTTTCAAGACGAACAAGCTTATTTCTGACATCTTTAAGCTCATACACTCCAATGCCTCACTGCATTACCAAAGAAAATATTGAAAAAATCATGCATTGATTGCAATTAAAGTAATGAAATAATAAAGTACCGTAAAGGTGGATTTCCTTGAGGCCACATGAGGTTGGTGAAGTTCTCAATCTTAGCAGCATCGATCCCAAAACTTTCATAGTTAAGATTCTCGAAGTTCTTGCGGTTGTAAGTATTGAAAGGCTTTGGACTGATGTGCTGCCGCTTTGTTTCTTCAGGTAAATCAAACAATGGTTTCATACTTTGAAATATGACTTCACGTGCACCCTTAGTACTCATCTCATCATACTTCATGATGAAGCAGCCATAACTCTCACATGCTTCTCTCACTTTCATGCTCATCTCTTTCCACTCTTCACTCCCTTCTTCTAGTGTCTCCCCTCCCTTGCAAAAATTAAAACATGGTAGCACCATAACCTCCTTCTCAGATGCCATTTCCCTCTCTCTCTCTCTCTCTCTCTCTCTCTCTCTCTCTCTCTCTCTCTCTCT